ATAGTAAATTGCACAATATAAAATTAACACACAGAAATCCCTTGCATTCCTACACACTAACAATGAGAGAACAGAAAGAGAAATTAAGGAAATAATTCCATTCACCATTGCAATGAAAATAATAAAATACTTAGGACTATATCTACCTAAAGAAACAAAAGACCTATAAATAGAAAACTATAAAACACTGATGAAAAAAGTCAAAGATGATACAAATAGATGGAGAAATATACCATGTTCATGGATTGGAAGAATCAATATAGTGAAAATGAATATACTACCCAAAGCAATTTATAGATTCAATGCAATCCTTATCAAGCTACCAACAGCGTTTTTCACAGAACTAGAACAAATAATTTCACAATTTGTATGGAAATACAAAAAACCTTGAATAGCCAAAGCAATCTTGAGAAAGAAGAGTGGAACTGGAGGAATCAACTTGTCTGACTTCATACTATACAAAACTATAGTCATTAAGACAGTATGGTACTGGCACAAAGACAGAAATATAGATCAATGGAACAGAATAGAAAGCCCAGAGATAAATCCACGTACCTACGGACACCTTATCTTCGACAAAGGAGGCAAGGATATACAATGGAAAAAAGACAACCACTTTAACAAGTGGTGCTGGGAAAACTGGTCAACCACTTGTAAAAGAATGAAACTAGAACACTTTCTAACACCATACACAAAAATAAACTCAAAATGGATTAAAGATTTAAATGTAAGACCAGAAACTATAAAACTCCAAGAGGAAAACATAGGGAAAACACTCTCTGACATAAATCACAGCAGAATCCTCTACAACCCACCTCCCAGAGTAATGGAAATAAAAGTAAAAATAAACAAATGGGACCTAATTAAACATAAAAGCTTTTGCACAATGAAGGAAACTATAAGCAAAGTAAAAAGACAGCCTTCAGAATGGGAGAAAATAATAGTAAATGAAACAACTGACAAAGAATTAATCTCAAAAATATACAAGCAGCTCATGTAGCTCAATTCCAGAAAAATCAACGACCCAAACAAAAAATGAACCAAAGAACTAAACAAGACATTCCTCCTAAGAAGACATACAGATGGCTGACAAACACATGAAAAGATGCTCAACATCACTCATTATCAGAGAAATGCAAATCAAAACCACAATGAGGTACTATCTCACACAGGTCAGAATGGCTACTATCCAAAAGTCTACAAACAATGAATGCTGGAGAGGGTGCAGAGAAAAGGGAAGGAACCCTCTTACACTGTTGGTGGAAATGTAAACTAGTACAGCCACTATGGAGAACAGTGTGGAGATTTCTTAAAAAACTGGAAATAGAACTGCCTTATGACCCAACAATCCCACTGCTGGGCATACACACCAAGGAAAACAGAATTGAAAGAGACATGTGTACCCCAATGTTCATCGCAGCACTGTTTACAATAGCTAGGACATGAAGCAACCTAGATGTCCATCAGCAGACGAATGGATAATAAAGCTGTGGTACATATACACAATGGAATATTACTCAGCTATTAAAAAGAATGCATTTTAATCAGTTCTAATAAGGTGGATGAAACTGGGGCCTATCATATAGAGTGAAGCCAGAAAGAAAAACACCAATACAGTATATTAATGCATATATAAGGAATTTAGAAAGATGGTAACAATGACCCGATATGTGAGACAGCAAAAGAGACAGATGTAAAGAACAGACTTTTGGACTCTGTGGGAGAAGGCGAGGATGGGATGATTTGAGAGAATTGCATTGAAACATGTATATTACCATATGTGAAATCGATCACCGGGGGGACCGGGATGGGGAATACATGTAAATCCATGGCTAATTCATTTCAATGTATGACAAAAACCACTGCAATGATGTAAAGTAATTAGCCTCCAACTAATAAAAATAAATGAAAAAAAAAAAAAGAAATCGATCACCAGTCCAGGTTTGATGCATGAGACAGGGCACTCAGGGCTGGTGCCCTGGGATGACCCTAAGGGATGGGATGGGGAGGGAGGTAGGAGGGAGGTTCAGGATGGGGGACACATGTACACCCAAGACTGATTCATGTCAACGTATGACAAAAACCACTACAATATTTTAAAGTAATTAGCCTCCAATTAAAACACATTAAAAAAAGAGCATCATACAATGTGAAGTCCAAAAAAGACAAATGTATAATATTGTTTATATGTGGAATCTAGAAAAAAATGGTACAAATGAACTTATTTGCAAAGCAGAAATAAAGTCACAGATGTAAAAATACAAACTTATCGTTACCAAGCGGGGGGAGATGTGGGATGAATTGGGAGATTGGGGTCGACATATACACATTACTATGTATAAAATATATAACTAGTGAGAACGAACTGTATAGCTCACAGAACTCTACTCATGCTATGTGGTGACCTAAAATAGGAAGGAATTCAAAAAAGAGAGAAAATATATGTGTACATACATAGCTGATTCACTTTGCTGTATAGCAGAAGCCAATACAACATTGTAAAGCAACTAAACTCCAATAAAATTTTTTATCTTTAAAGCCCAGGAGCTGGAATCAGTATATTTTTCTATTGTGCTAACTCAGTCTTTTTGAGCCATTTCTCCAATAAGCTCCCAAAATGAGAGGAAATGAACCTCCAGGACCTTCCACGCTTGTCTTGACTGGCCACTGGCCCTTGGGACCCTGCAGCAGCTTAGGTGAAGGTGAGATTTTCGACATCATGAGAACTAGAATACTGGGGGAAGGACATTTGAAACTGCTGGTCCATGTTTGTAAAAACAGAAAAAAAATACCCATTTCCCCTTGACGTCAGTGCACTTCTGGGGTCAGCCATGTTCACACCTGATCAGCTGAGATGTGTCACCCCCACATCGGGGATGATCCAGATCTTCTTCCTTTCTGGCCCAGGAGTTGCTGCTTTTCAGTGGTGTAGACAGTGGGCAGGGGAGGGTGACCATAGAACATCTGGGACAAAGTGGTCAAGTTTATCTACATAGATTTGAACAAAATGAAACATCCGCCCATTCACCTGCTGAGATCAAAGCAGGTGCAAAAGCCCTTGAATGTGTAGGAGCTCAGGTAGACAGAGGGGCTAATCACTCTTGTATAAGCGGCCAATAGGTGAAGACAGACCAGGTGGCCCTGTGAAAGACCTCACTGAGGACTCTCGGATAGTGGACCAATGATACAAGTCTTTGCAGTGAAGAGTTACTTCCATGATTCCTCATTTGACATCTCAAGCTTTATGGTTGTTCCGTTACAACCATGGTGGACTTGAGCATAGTCCATTGGTCTGCAGTAGGGGTAATGGCTCCTCCTGCAATGCAGGAGACCCGGGTTTGATCCCTGGGTCAGGAAGATCCCCTGGAGAAGGAAATGGCAACCCACTCCAGTATTCTTGCCTGGGAAATCCCATGGACAGAGGAGCCTGGTAGGCTACACTCCATGGGGTCACCTGCGACTTAGCAACTAAACAAGAGGTAATGGCCACACATGTTGGTTTTTTCCACGTATGTTTGTCTCAACACTGTTCTCTAGGTGTGGTTATTTCATGTAACTATACATATAATGTAAATATTGAATCTGAAAACTGTTATGTTTCCAAGGGGAGGTCATCCAATATATGGGATCTCTTTACAAATCCAGTCCTGGGGCCCCAAAGACCTGACCATTAAAGCTGGGACATAAGTGACTATTCATGAGCTGATATACAGATATTGTTCATTAATTCCTGGGAGAGCGGCGGTGGACAATGTACTCTGACTAGAAAGTCCCACGTGAAGCTCAGCTTATCACAGGGGACACCCACTGCTGCAGGCCATCAGCCGTTTGCCTTCAGTGAAAGGCTCTGCTCACCTTGGAGCTGGATGGGCTTTTTCACTGACCCTTGTCAGCTGACTTTCTTGAGACTAGCACTCCATGAAGGAAGACACCTGTTGGTGAAGTTAAAGGCTTAGGGACTGGGCTTAATTGCAAAATCCATAGTGTTTTCACGACAGAACTTCCTAGAGCTCATCCCACCTATGGAATTTAGTTCAGACTTGCAGGATGTCAAGTTGGAGGCTGTTTTGACCAGAGGTTAGTCACGTTCAGTTGCTTCTCAGTGGCAGGAGGAAGTTCTCAAATTCAAAAGCTCAACCACACACGTTAAAAAAAAAACAAAGGTATCTGTGAGGTGATGGATGTTTTAACCTCATTGTGGTAATCATTTCAGAAAGTAGACATATGTCAAATCACCACGTTGTCTCCTTTAAATATGTAACTTTTTATTAGTCTATTATACTTTTTTTGGCCAAAATTTCTTCAACCTCTGTATTCTTCTGGTTAGTCTATTATACTTTTTATTAAAACACCACCACCAGCTCAGAGGGCCAGGAGAACCAGAGGAACCGTCATGGTAAAAGGCCTCCATCAGCAGTGCAATGAATAGCAAGCACCTGTTACTCATTGGTCTGAAGGAGGTGCTAGGGTAGGGTGCCTAAAGGGCTTCCAAGATTACTGGTATTGGAGCCCTCATTCAAATATGGCCACAGGTCTGACGTCTGGGGGTGGAGGTTACAGGAATATTCCCAGGTTTGGGATGTACTGTCTCTAATTAGACAATATGCGACAGGGCCAGTGGAGCTGGGATTTTTGCCGCAATTTGTGGTTGCAACCAAGTTTCTTGTTAATTGATTGTGAAATGTCTCTTTGAGCTGTGATGCAGCTCCCAAGAGGGCTACTTGGAAGGCAGACGAGGGGAGAGGTGGTGACTAAGCAAAAGCAGTTTGACCTGTGAAGCCATTATAGAGACGCCTGCATACCACCAACAGTTCCCATGATAACAAGTTGTGTCCAAACCACTGATGCTCTCTCACTGGAGAATTCAGGACCATAAGTGTATTGCGTGCTCCGCCAGGTGGAAGCAAACAGGTTTCATCCATCCCTCGCCGCCACCCTCAACCCCCATTAAAAGAATAAACTATCAGCCATACCCCAGACTGCAGACTAAAAGCCAGGTTATGAGGGAAGCGGCAGCTCCGTCCACGTTGGAAGAGTCGAGTGTGGCGGAAATGAACGTGGCCACCTTCTTACCGAAGCACCCAGAGGCCACAGTAAAGCTCCCGGCTTCCATCGGCCTGACAGTGGGGGTGCAGCTCCTGAGGAAGCGTGGAAACTCCGTGCTGCACCCCTGGCCATCCGAAACGTCGGGTGAAAAGACCGTGGACCCTTTCTTCTCCCAGGAAGAAGGCGCTGTGTCAACTGTTATGCTCGGCGAACTTTACAGGGAAAAGTCTATCCTGGAACCTGCATCTGACCCTTAGAGGAGCCACCGACAGTGGGTGCAACGAGTGGATCCCGTGAGCAGGTTCTTACGGAAGATAGGCAAGCACAGTCCAGACCAAAGCCAACCAAACACCCCCCCACAAAACTACAGCCAGTACTCCGTAAGCTCAGGAGCATGCAGGGCGTCCCCCTGCGTGGGGTGAAGCCGGAGAGCCGATCCATACCTGAGTCTTGTCCCCGCTCGTCCCATGCCTTTGGTTCACCGGATCTCAGCAGAGTCAGCTCGCACGGAGTAGGTCTTCGCGCGCAGGACTCGTGGGCTCACTCCAGGTTCTCGCGTTGCTTCCTATGCGCAGGCTCACGACTCCTCTGGTCTGCTCCCCCCGCCCCTTTTAACGCTGTCAATCACCTGCTTTGGCCATTAGTAGTAAAATAGATTCATCTGTACAGCGGTTTTCCTGGGTTGCCTTCTTCCTGGCATTCAGTGGCCTCCTTACCCAGGATTTTTATTTGGAAGGTGACTCACTTCTTGTCCAAACGACTCGCTCGTTTGAGAATCTTGGTGGCTTTCTGCCCACCCACTTCTTGCGGGGGGCCGTGGGGGGGTTGTCCCTGGCCGTTCACCCCTCCCTTCAGGCTCTGTATTTTTTTTCCTCGGAAGAGTCAGATGCTCCGAGCTGCAACCACTGGGGTCAGCAACCTTCACTACTGTCATCCAAGGTCGCCCCTCAGTAAGGGAGCTAGTTGGCGCAGCTGCGACCTGTTTTTGGCTTGTACTCACAGACCCAGATGGACCACCTACCTGGGCAGTGCAGCCAGTAGGAGGCTGCCGAACGGACCACCCTGTGTGAGCGTTTGCAGGGTCCCATGGGAGACACTGTATAAACTCTGCCTCAGCACAGTCTGGGCTCTCCTGCTGGCTCAGACGGTAAAGAATCGGCCTGCAATGCGGGAAACCTGGGTTTGATCCCTGGGTTGAGAAGATCCCCTGGAGGAGGGTGTGGCAACCGATTCCAGTATTTTTGCCTGAAGAATCCCATGGACAGAGGAGCCTGGCAGGCTACAGTCCATGGGGTCGCAAAGAGTTGGACACGACTGGGCGACTAACACAGACCAGTCTGTTCCAGGTGAGGAGGACAAATGTATCCACTGACTGCTGTGTCCAATTAGCCAGCATCCCCCTACGGGCAGGAACTCTCCTGTAGCTGCGGACTGCACACCCATGAGTGGGGTCCACGGGAAAGCTCTGGTGTGGCAGGCAAAAGCTGTCAGTGAAGACTGCGGCCCAGCTCTGTGCTTGCGCTGGAGTGAAACTGGTCACAGCCTTTGCGGGGCAGACACGTGGTCCCTGTTTGGATTAAGAGAGGGTGCGAAAAAGGGCCGAGAGGATGCCAAGTGTTGCCTGAAAGGAGGTGGGCGGGGGGTGGGGGGTGGGGTGACTGTTACAGCAACGCAACGAAAGGATGACCTACGTCATTGGATCCTTTTCGTTTAATTATAAAGAATTGCTATACTTATATCTGCACTTTTTAGGCAATACATCGAGCGACACTAGAATTATGCGATAAGAAAAGCAAAGGTGGGGTGAATGGAGATTTCGAAAGGAAGGAGAACCAGGAGCGGGGATGGGGTGGGAAGCGTGTAGTTACAGTTAAATGTGGTCAGAAGCTGTATGATCAGAAGCCAGTGATCAGCGTGTGACCATCACTAACTAGGGGATTATGATGCGTCTGAGTGCCTGAAGTTCCAATAAAACCTGCAAATTGTGCTTCTGATCCCAAACCCTGGATTAGGATGTCTCGGCTCTTCGGGCCGGGCGGCGGCGCTCCCCACGGCCGCCAGAAGGCGGCGCTGCGGGTGCGGGGAGCTGAGCAGCCACCTGCGGGGCCGGGTGCTTTTCCGCAGAAGGAAGCCGAGCCCGCGGGGAGCAGAAGCGCTGCTCGGGCGCGGGACCCGGCTCCCCGGGGAGGGCCCCGCCCGAGCGGGCGCAGGAAGCAGCTGACTTCCTGCGCCCCCACGCCTCCCCTGCCTGCCCGAGGACCCCTACTAGGAGTCGGGGGTGCTCTGCAAACTAGCTGCAGCCAGCCCACGCAAGTTTTATTTGGCTTAAAAATCCAGATTTCTACTTCTCTCAGTCACGTGGGGCTTCTGGCGACCCCGGCGGCCCTCCACGTGCATCCCTGGCCCGGTGTTTCTTTTTCCTTTTTTGATAGTTTCGACCAGATCAATAGCTTTCTGGCTATTGACTGTTTAATCCCTCTTCAGAACTGAATCCGGCGCAAGACTTCATACCATAGCGTTTCCTTCTTTGCACAACTCTATACAGAGTTAATCATGGTCTCTTTTTCTTGACAGTGAATCCCCAACAAGTTACCAGTTGCCTCAGTCTCCTTACAAGGTCCAGAGGCACCAGGTATTGTCACCGCGGCCTCCTGAGGAAGTTTCTCCTGGTGTTTTTGCCTTCTACAACCTGAACTGGTCACCCTGTCCATTTGTCTGGTGTCTAGTGGGCAGCAGGCAGCTCCCTTCAGCTCAAGGGGTGCCTCTTTTTTTTTTAAAGCAGATAAGTCCCCCATGTCAATCTAAATCACACATCAAATTCCATTATATAAAACTGGAAATATGGCATTCATATAAATTACTCATTTACATTTATAACACTGACTTCTAATGAAGTCAGTCTATGAGAGTAATGAGGTTAATTGGAACAACATGCTATTTGGAGGAAGGCACTAAATGGGGCTGTAGCCTCTTCTGTTCATTCACCTATCTGTTTTAGTGGCTGGCGCTGGAGGAAGCCTGGCTTGCCCAGGATATCCTGGAAGGTTCTCAGAAGTTCACCTCCCATTCCTGGTGTCTCCCTGGACCAGTCAAGGTGGAAGGCCAGCCTTCTAGGGCTGTGTGAGGCAGGGTTCCCACTGTCAGCATTCGCCATCAACAGAGGAGTGTGCATCTTAAGCTGTTAATATATATTTTGCACATAACATTGATATCCAGGGACTTCGTTGATGGTCTAGTGGTAAAAATTCTGCCTTGCAATGTAGGGGACCAGGGTTCAATCCCTGGTTGGGGAACTAAGATCCCACATGCCTTGGGCAACTAAGCCAGTGTTCTGCAACTACTGAGGCTTGATGCCACAACTAGAGAGTTTGAGTGTGCAAGGAAAAGATCCAAGTGCTTCAACTAAGACCTAACACTGCCAGATTAATGAGTTAATTTTAAAAATAGGATAACTTTCTTTAAAAAATTTAAAATAAAGATTGCCCTCTGTGAGCCCCTGTTCACTGCTACAGTTCAGAAACCGCCCTACAGTGGGGAGAAAGTGGTACCCAAAGGCCTGCGGTATTTCCGTGGCAACAGAAGGTAGCAACCCAGGATAGAGAAGAGGCCTGGGAGGTGGTGGCACAGGGAGTGGGCCAGCTTCGGGTCACCTGAGCTTCCTGACGCTTCAGCCCAGGCTGAGAATGGAGCCTTCAAGTCCAGGCCAAGCCTCCCGGTCCAGGGTGAGAACCTGGACTCAAACCCCATCTCCAGCCCTGACCTCATGTGCCCTCGGCTTTCTCCTGGGGTCTCCCCACTCCTCCGCCTGGCCTTCAGGACAGATGGGCTTCCTCATGGCGCCCCTGGAGGAAGGGGCGGTTCCGTGGCCGCACCTGGGAGCCTCAGTGAGCAGAAGTCTTTTCTTGTTGATGGTGAGGAACTGCCCGACGGAGGGCACCACCTCACCTTCCAGGTCCCTCCCCAGGGCTCTGCCGCCTGTTCGTGGGAGACCATGTGGGCTGACCCACTTTGGTCTCACCTCCCAGGGTCCCTGGTGCCACAGATGTCAACACCCTTTCCTGGGTCTGCAGTGGTCATGGTGAGCTAAGACTGGCTCTTGGTCCTTGGGGCAGGTCTCATGCCCCCTGAAGTGGAAGCGAGGAGTCCTAAACATCCTCCCACTATGGGTCCAAACATCCCTCCTCTCATATCTTCGCCTGGCTGGGACTGCTTGGTGGGTCACCTCCCTGTGCTGGGAGCTGGGGTGGTGGGGACAGAGTTTGGCTTGCTCGTGGGCACTGCCCCTGAGACGGCAGACCTGTTTTATCTGGACCCGCAAGTCTTAGCTGTCAGAACATGGTGCTGGCCTCGGCTGGACTGTGGCGCCTGCTGTGGGTGGGCAGAACTGTGTCTCTGTCTTTCTCCATTTCCCAAGAAGCTTGTCAGTTACTTAGGAGCCTTAGACAGAAGGTCCTGCATTGCTTTAAGAGAAGGAAAACTCTTGGTGAAATATAGATAACATAAACGTTAACCATTTAAACAATTTTCAGGTGTTAATTACATTTAGATTAATGTGCAGCCATCATCACCATCTCCAGAATGTTTTCTTTTTTTCTTTTGGTGGCATGTGAGTTCTTAGTTCACCAACCAGGAGTCAAACTCACAGCCCCTGCAGTGGAAGTGAAGAGCCTATCCATTGGACTGCCAAGGAAGACCCAACCAGAACATAATATTTTCACCTTCCCAAAGGGAAACTGTACCTACCCACCGAAAGTGAAAGTGAAGTCGCTCAGTTGTGTCCAACTGTTTGACCCTGTGGACTGTAGCCTACCACGCTCCTCCTTCCATGGGATTTTCCAGGCAAGAATACTGGAGTGGGTTACCATTTCCTTCTCCAGGGGATCTTCCCGACCCAGGGATCGAACCTGGATCTCCTGCATTGCAGGCAGACTCTTTAACCTCTTGAATACTCCCAAGTCTGCCCTCTAGACTCTGGCAACCAATCGCCATTTTACTTTGTCTCTGTGAATTTTGCCTACTCTAGGCACCTCATGTAACTAAAATCATATAGTATTTGTCCTTTAATGTCTGGCTCATTTTACTTAACAGAATGTCTTCAAGGTTCATCCATGGTGTACCACGTGTCAAAATTTACTTTTTAAGGCTGCCCAAGTTGCTTTTGAGTCTTATGTGAATTATGCTGGCTTCCACCCTTAATATCAATGTACTTTGAAAATACACAAGTCTTGTGAGGCCAGGATGATATGCATTCTTTCCTCTTCTCCCGTCCAGAGGGCACATGAACGTCGTGGGTCCCCAGGTAGCACGTGCCTCACCCTGGTTTTACAGCCTTCTTCTAATTCAATAAGAACTCTTGCAATTGGCCAAGTCGACATTTTATTTAAAAACATACATACACAATGGGAAGAACAGGAAAGGGGCCGTGACACCTCCTAGTTGGGGCCTGGCTGACCGCATGGTGCTACCATGAGGCCTCGCTTTTAAGGAAGAGTGCACCTTCAAGACCGGATTTCCAAGAGAGATAAATTAGATGATGGCTGTTTTCAGAAGAGAGTTTAAGGCAGCGCCCCTCCCGAGGGCCGGGGAGAGGAAGAGGCTTCACAGGAGTATTCAGAACCCCTCCCCGCATCACCTTAAGCGGAGGGGTGTGGGGGGCATCAGTCCCTGAGGCAGTTCTAAAGCTGAGGAAGAGATCAGATTTTCCTGGCGGCTGCTTTTCTTTCCCAGACAGGGAGGCATATTCTCTGATGAAGTGTGGAAGGCTGGAGAGAGAGGCTGGACCCGCTTGGAAGCCTGAAGGGTCCTTCCCGCGCCTCCCACCCGGGGGATCCGGTGCGAGGCCCGAGACCCCGGTTCTTCTGGGGTCGCCAGCTCATGACCCTCCATCCGCGGGGTCACACGTCCTGCAGGGCCTCCTACAGGGCTGGGGGGCGCTGGGGGCGTCAGGCGGCGTCTGGGGGAAGGGAAGGGCAGCGTTGAGGGGGCCGGGCCCGCAGGGCTGCCCCGGGGCTGCGCATGCGCTGCGTTCCCCCGCCCACACCAAGGCTGTGGGAGCTACTTTGTGCTTTTTCAGTCCGGTTGTAAAAAAAAAAAACGAAATAAAAGATTCCCCTCCCCGCTCCTCCCCACCCCAGGCTTCTTTCTCAGAGGTACTTGAACTCCTTTAGCTATTTCTTTCGGGTAATTTTTAACATATTTACATCTCTGTAATTTTAACATATTTGTATCAACGTTGATTGATGTATCACTTTTAGACATTACCTATTAACTTTTTCACATTCTTTTTTCGTCATTCATTCTTTCTTAAACAGCCTCACAGGGATATAATTGAACTGCCACACAGTTCACTCATTTAAAGTGTGCAATTCCGTGGTTTTCACTGTATTCACAGAATTGTACAACCATCCACACAATCTTAGAATAATCTCATTGTGTCCAAAAGAAGCCCCAAAGGCACACGCAGTCATTCCTGTATCCCCTGCCCCAGCCCTAAGCAACCGGTACTCCACTCTCTGTCTCTGTGGATTTGTCTATTTTGGACATTTTTCCTAAAGGGAATCCTACCACCGTGGTCCTTGGTGACTGACTCTCTTCACCCAGCCTTCTGTTAGCTTTTTGCCACTGAGAGTATTAGGAGGAAACTGAAGCTCTACTGTGGCAAGCGCTCTGTAAGACGCTTTGATATTTTTAATGTATGTTTTAAAAACAAAGAAAAGAATGAGCGAGAGTGCTGATTCAAAGAAAGAAGTATAGCTGGTTCAACTTTCAGGAATCCTATTTCTAGGAATTTATTCTAAAGGTGAAAAAACATTAGGTTATGTGTGGGGGGATATATTTACAAGGATGTTCATTTGTTCATTATAGCACTGTTGAGTAGGAGAGAATTTTTAATTAAAAAAAATAGATATATAATGTGCCCAAATAGGAGACAATTTCAGTAAACTACGATGCTGACATGCAAAGGAGCCAGTGCTACACCACCGAGCCATGAAGGATGCCAGAGCAGGACACTTAATTATGTGGAGAAAGTGACCGATAAGGGGCTGGGCAGGAACAGAGGAGCAGTTTGCAAAATCATACACGAAGTCTGATCCTTTAATAAATGCACATCTCTTGGGACTTCCTGGGCGGTCCAGAGGTTAGGACTCTGCACCTCCACTGAAAGTTCAGAGCTCGGCTTTGATCCCAGGTCAGGGAACTAAGCTCCTGTAAGCTGCATGGCACGGCTCAAAAAACAAAGGCACATCTCTCTCTTTGTATATTCAGAGCAAGGAAATGCTGAAGGGACAGATACCCAGCAGGTGCTATTTCTTGGTAGTGTGATAATGGTTTTTATTTAAAAAATTTTTTTTTAATTTCTATTTTCTAAATATACTACCTTTTATTTTTGTCATTAGGAAACTCATTTAAAGAAAACGGGTTGCCATCGAGAATGAGAATGTTGGGGTGACCCTGGGCGCCATGGAGACAGGATGGTGCTGTCAGTGGTCCCTACTGCCAAGCTCCAGAGTCCATGTCCTCCCATTCCTGGGCACAGGGAACCTTCTTGGTCATCTGTATTCAGACCAGAACTCACCTGTGGACTGGGTCACGCACGAGATCTTGTAGGACAGCCACACGCTCGCCAGGCAGAGGAAGGTGGCCAGGAAACCGAAGATCTGTGCAAGAGAGAGGGGCCAGGAGGTGCCCAGGGCAAGGGCCAGTCACGCAGGCAGCCCTTTCAGCGGCTCATCCCTGTGCCTGTTTCCTGTACTGGCTGTGGCCGCGAGGGAGCCCGGGGACTCATCTGACCTGGCCACCTGTCCTCACGCAGGCACGGGGGTGATGCCCTGGCCCCGGTCAGGCCTGCAACTGGGTCGCAGCCAGGCCTCTGGGCACCACCTCTCACCTCTTCTCCAGATAACTATGTGCCCCCACTCAGGTTTATGTTTACAACCCAGCTGGGGCCAAGCCACCAGTCTTTATCCTGGACTAATAAGACTAATAAGAAAAAGGAGGAACAGTACATTTTATTTGGGGTTCTTAACATTTAATATTCAAATGGATCTTGGTATGGTGGCATCATATGCACTTCATCCATAAAGGCTTTCTGTTCTGTCTGGCTTCCCAGCTGTGTTGGAGCCAGAAGTTGAGGCCCCTATACCTGGCGTCAGGTTTACATGTATTTAAGTAACATTAGGCTGAAATAAGCTCAAGCAGCATGCCTGTCCTTCCTGCGTTCCGTTGTGAGCACCTAGCCCTGCGCAGCCTTCTTATTTGTAGGCACAGGGCCTCCTGGGCTTCCCTGGTGGGGACGTTCTTTACCTTCTTTACTTTCCCAGATGGTAAAGAATCTGCCTGCAATGCAGGAGACCCAGGTTCAATCACTGGGTCAGAGGATCCCCTGGAGAAGGAAATGGCTACCCACTCCCGTATTCCTGCTTGGAGAATTTCACAGACAGAGGGGCCTGGAGGGCTACATTTCGTGGGATCACAAAGAATCGGACATGACTGAGTGACTAACAATTTCACTAACACTTTAAAGGACCTCACGGAGGATTATTAAATGATGGCGTGAGAAGCAGACACAGACTCAGGTGTCTCTGCCTGGGACTTGGAAGCCTGTAGCCTTTCCCGACTTGTCACAGAGGTCCCCAACCTTTTTGGCACCAGGGCTGGGCTTCAGAGAAGACAATTTTTCCACGAACCAGGGAGGACGGATGGTTTCAGGATGATTCGAGTACGTTACATTTATTGTGCACTTTATTTCTATTATCATTACATCAGCTCCACCTGAGATCATCAGCCACTAGATCCCAGAGGTTGGGGACCTCTGGTCAACAACAACTGCAGCGGCAGGTACTAACACTGATGGAGCATTTACTTCATCCCAGGCACTGTTCTAGGCCCTTCAGATGCATGGCTTCCTTTAACCCTCAGAGCTCTGCCAGATGAGACCAGAGGTCTGAGCCCAGGGTTCCTCTCTGCTCACCTTGCCAGGTGTCCACAGGTCCCCCAAGTGCATGGCTGGGGCCCCTGGAAGTCCAGCAGGAATGGCCCAGAGCAGCCAGCCCAAGCGCAGGACTATCCTGCCTGCCTGCTGGTTCCCAAGTGGCTGCTCTGCCCGGCACCCCCCCCCACCCCCCAGCCTCCTCTTCCCCCTTGTCCATCTCCCTGATTCCTTTTGTACCGATTGTCTGCACCACATAATCAGCCTATTACAGCCTGTCCCGGCCTCTCATTGTCTGTTCTGCACAATTAGCACATTATACACTGTCCTGCTCCCCAGCTGTTCGCACTGCATAATTGAACAGCTTATTACAGGGCTACATAATGTGCGTCTGGACCACAGGGCCTTGGGTGCTAATTGTTTCACGGCCCCGGCCTCCTAAGCAAGAACATCACTTTCTCATCAGTAGGGACTGTAACTTTTCACTTCTTCTGGCTTCTCCGGGTCCATGCTGGTTCCCACAGGACAGGTGGAGGACAAGTGGGGGTTGTTGGGAGTCCAGGGCTAATACTGTCATGCGCCACCCGAATCAGAAAACCCAGTGGGACTCTGCCAGTGTGGTCCTGAAACACGATGAGCACAAAGCTCCTCTGCGCTTCCTCTGCCAGCGGGCAGGTGGGAACCATCCCTCTTCTTGGAAACTAACCTCCACAGTGGGGAAGGGGTATGGGAGGGGCTTAAGGGGCACAAATTTAGGGGACAAGGGTTCGATCCCTGGGCCAGGAAGATTCGCTGGAGCAGGAAATGGCAACCCACTCCAGTATTCTTGCCTTGAGAATCCCATGGACAGAGGAGCCAGGCGGGCTACAGTCCATGGGGTCACAAAGAGTCAGACACGACGGAATGACTAAGCTCAAGGGGCATGAGTGCTCAGAGGTCCGGCTGTCCCTCTGCAGGGACCTTCTGCCCCCTGCAGACTCCACCCGTTGGTGGAATCCCAGGCACTCACTGGCTCTCCGCCCAAAGTCAAGAGATTTTGAGTTCCATGTGGAAGTGAGTGACTATCACACAGACAGCTTCCCTTCAAACTCATTTGAAAAGTGAGGCAAATCGGTTGTAGCCCACAGGCTTCCAAAGTATAAGCAATAAGCTAAATCAGAAATCAGATGACAGGAACCTATAGATCTTTTAAAGAATATGGCTACCCATATGTGACTTCTAAGACACATGTGGGTTTCCTGGTGGCTCAGACAGTAAAGAATCTGCCTGCAATGCTGGAGACCTGGGTTCAATCCTTGGGTTGGGAGGATACCCTGGAGAAGGGAATGGCTACCCACTCCAGTATTCTTGCCTGGAGCATTCATTCCATGGACAGAGGAGCCTGGTGGGCTCCATGGGGTCACAAGAGTCAAACACGACTGAGTGAATCACACTCACACAGACACGTCTGTGTGTCTCTGGGTGATAAATACACGTAGCTCCCACCAAGCTCTATTTTTGTCCACTTCATGCTACTTCCATTCAGGTTAGCCAATGGGTCAGTGTTCACCTCTGAAAGGTACAGAAGTGTTATTTCCTGGTCTGAGTACTGTGAATAGTCAGGAATGGCAAAGCTGAGACTCATGGTGGGTGTCACTAGCTGATCGCAGGACTGTTCCCTGGGCCCCAAAGGGATCTTCCCTGTGCAGGACCCTTCCCAGCCCTGAGCAAATGACCAGGGCAAGCATGAGAATTAAAACCTACTTAACCCCTTGATTTAAGGAGTGGCCGTAAGAGAAAGAGGTCTGGGCCGCTGGGGCCATTTGAGTTTGCACAGCCCTGCCCATCACCACCTGACGCCCTCTGCCACGGGCCCACGTTTCAGGCTCTCTGGGGAGAGCCGATGGATCAAGGTGGAGACCGATCCTGAGAAAGAAAGGCCCCAGAGAACAATCCCTTTGCCGCCCTGTGAGGAAGAGAGTGGGCATTCAGAACAGGAATTCCTCCCTGCCGCCTCCTGGGAAACGTCCTCACCGCTCCAGCCACCAGTCCACTCTGTCTGTAACTCTCGGAAGCTGCCACGATGGAGGCGATGAGGAGGAGCAGGGTACCGATTAAATAGTGCAGGAGTTCCTGCGGGCAGAAACAGAGCAGGTCAGTGGGGAGGCAGCTCCGCTCCCGTTCTCAGGAGAGAAGGACAGACACTTCCTCTTCTCCCGGTAACACCCCAGCAGGAGCAGGGGAGCTCACAGGCAACAAGAAAGGACCGCTGGCCAGGATGAGGCCAAGCAGGAGAGAAAAGACGCCGGGCAGCAGGAAGAGAGGCGGCAAAGACAGAGATGCTTCTCAGGTGAGCAGAGACGTCCCCCAAGGATGGCTCCACTCCTGAGGTCAGGCTGTCCGTGGTTACCTTGACCTTCAGGCTAAAGCTACTAACAAGCAAATGAGCTGCTTGCAGCTTCCAGGCTGGAGCGTTTCAGTGCAGTTCCAGCTCTGAGAAGTAAAGCCCCTTAAAGAGATGTGTGCCTTCGCTTCTACTGCAGAGAAAGGGCTGGGCTCGCAATGTGCTGGTTTTGGTGGCTGCCTGGAGGGCCTCCCCATTCTGCGGACAAAAGTCCTCCCAGTTCTGCCCACATTTTGTCTTCCCTCTTCTTGACTGTTGAAAACGTACCCTCAGGCCAGACTGCCGAGGGTCTGCAGGAAGGGCTGACTCCATCTTTGCTTCCCTTGGGTCCATAGGGCCATCTCTTTATGCCTTTGCAGGTCCTGGAGGAGGTAGGGGTCTCTGACTTTTGACTACAAGAGGATGCTTCGCCTCATGCCGCCCCCTCCCTACCAACACCAGATCAGAAGGGCGAACTGGGGCTTAGGGCCACCAAGAGCGGACTGTGCTCTAAAGAGAAATTTGTAGCTGTTAGGGCCTATGTTAAAAGTGAAGAGAGGTTTCAAATGAATAACTTACACCTTCACCTTAGGACACTGGGAAAAGAAAAGCAAGCTAAAACCTACAAGAAGAAAGAAGGAAATAGGGATCACTGCAGAAACAAATGCTACAGAGAAAAGAACAACAGAGAAAGTCAATGAAATCAAGAGCTGGTTCCTTGAAACAATCAACAACATAGAGAAAACTTTAGCTAGACTGACCAAGGGGAAAAAAAAAGAGAAGAAAAACATTCAAATGGCCAGAATCAGAAATAAAAGAGGGGACATCACTACTGACGAAATAAAAAGGATTTTAAAAGAATACTGTGATCAGTTGCACACCAATAGGTTACATAAGTTAGATGAAATGGAGATATTCCTAGAAAAACATGCTACTGAAAATGACTCGAGAAGAAATAATCTGAATAAGATCTATAATAGTAGATCCTGAATGAATAATAAAAACACTACCCACAGGAGAAGCCCAGACCAGATGGCTTCCATGCAGAATTACAAACATTTAGAGAGGAATCAATACCAACTCTTCCAAAACTTTCCTAAAAACATAAGAGAAGAAAACACTTCTGATAACAAAACCAAAGAAATCACAAGAAAACTACAGACCAATAATATCTCAATGCAAAAATGCTCAACAAAACACTAGCAAACCAAATCCAGCTACATGTAAACTGAATTATACATCACAGCCAATCAGAATTTCCCCCAGGAATGCAAAGTTAGCTCCACATATGAAAATCAGTGCAATAACAGAATCCTAGAAGGATTCATCATCCTGCATGATTGTCTTAATAGACAAATGAATTAAAGGTAACTTCTTCTGTTTGATAAATACCATCTCTGGTGGCTCAAACAGTAAAGAATCTGCCTGCAATGCAGGAGACGTGAGTTTGATCCCTGGATCAGGAAGATCCCCTGGAGAAGGGAATGGCTACCCACGCCAGTATTCTTGCCTGGAGAATTCCATGGACAGAGGAGCATGGCAGGTTACAGTCCATGGGGTTGCAAAGAGTTGGACATGACTGAGTGACTAACACTTATCTACAAAAACCCCTGCTAATGTTACATTTAATGATAAAAAACTAATACTCTCCTCCTAATACTGGGAACAAGATGATATCCACTCTTGCCACTTCAACATTCAATTTCTTGCAATAAGCCAAGAAAATGAAGTATAAAGCATCCAGACTGCAAACAAATGTAAAACTATCTCTATTTACAGACAGTATGCTCCCGTAGATAGAAAACACCAAGGAATCCACTAATGAATTGTCTATTAGATCTTATAAATGATTTCAACACAATTGAGGATACAAGATCAATAAACAGAAATCAATTGTATTTCTATCCACGTGCAGTGAACAATCCGAAAATGAAATTAACAATTACATTTGAAATAGTTCACGAAGGGTAGGATACTTAGCAACACACTAAACAAAAATAGTATAAAACTCATACTCTGAAAATTACATGACATTGTTGAAAGAAGTTTTAGAAGATCTAAATAAATGGAAAAGCCTTCCATGCTCATGGATCACAAGACTTTATATTATTATTAAAATGGCAATATTCTCCAAATTTATCTACAGATTCAATATCATTCTTATTAGAATCTCAGCTAACTTCTTTGTGGAAACTGAAAATCTGATTATAAAGTTCTTATGGAACTACAATTCAAAATAATCCTGAAAAAGAACAAGCGGGAAGACTGCTGGAATGCATCATGTTATATCCACTTTGGAAAATAGCCGGGCAGCTCCTCAAACAATTAAACATTTACCATGTGACCCAGCAATTCCACTCTTAGGTATATTCCCAAGCAAAATAAAAACATGTCCATACACAAAACTTGTATACAAATGTGCACAGGAGCAGGATTCACAATTGCCAAAAGGTAGAAACAACCCAAATATCCATCAATGATAAATGAATAAACAAAATGTGATTCAGTGGTTAGGACTCCGTGCTTGCACTGCAGGAGGCATGGGTTCGATCCCTGGTCGGGGAACTAAGATCCCACATGCCACATGGTGCACCCACAACAAACAAACAAATCAACAAAAAACCAAAATGTGGTATATCCTTTCCATGGGTTATTTCTTAGCTATAAAAAGAAATGAAGTGCTGATACATGCTATAAATAGATAAACCAGGAACACACTCTACTAAGTGAAAGGAGCTAGCCACAGAAGACCACATCTATGAGTCCACTTACATGAAATCTCCAGAATAGGAAAAGTTATAGAGACAGAAAGTCAGTTAGTAGTAGCTCAGGACTGGAGGAGATGAGGGGTAGGAGGTAACAGCTAAAGGGTACAGGGTTTCTTTTTGAGGTGATGAAAATATTCTAAAAATGAGGCGACGGTTGCACAAGTCTAGAAACATATGGAAATCCACTGAACTGTACACTTCAATCGGTAATTGTATGACATGTCAACAAAGTGTAAATAAAGCCGTTTTAAAAATAATATAACGGGAAGAAGAAACCTTAGCAACTTCTGATATCTTTCTTCACACTCTGCCTGTCCACTTTAGCTGACAGATCTTATCCGTACGACAGTGTAAATACCTACCACCTCTATCAGCTTTCTGCTATCACGTTCCACCTCCAGGTCACCCCCCACTCAGCCCATTTTCTGTCACTTGAGAAAACCAGCATGCGTTGAGAAGCACAGCCTTCTTGCAGCTTGAAGGTGAGTTTTAGAGGCAGTAGGACACGAGGCAGAGAGGGCTACCCAATAGTGGGAAATTCAGAGCTGAGGCAGCCAAGGAGGTGGGGCGTGTAGACGGGAAGGACGCCGTCAGGTCCCAGCACCCAGCCTGCGTCCTGACTCGCGCTGGGGGAGAGCGGCCTGGCCACTCCCTTACCGACAGGGGCCAGCTGATACAGGTGAGCAGGCGGTAGAGGCGGAAGAGGTGCACCAGATAGAAGGCGAGGATCATGATCAAGTTGCAAATGGTGACCACTTCGAAGTAGCTGTAGGCGCTGTAGCTGGTCCACAAAGAGGTCCTCACGCAGATGAAGGCGATCAGCAGTGTGACCTGGGGTGGGAACACAGACACATCAGAGAAGTGCCCACCCAAGATGGGCACCCAGGGAACGAACAAGACAACAGGGACTTCCCTGGAGGTCCGGTGGTTAAGACTCTGCCCTTCCACTGCGGGGGTGGCCCGGGTTCGATCCCTGGTCAGGGAACTAACATCCCACAGGCCCAAAAAACAAAACAAAATGCATATGGTGATAAGACGGATTTATAAAACAAAACACCAGGAACACAACCAACGACAGGGGACCGAGGAGCTGCCACAGTTGAGGTTACTTCCTCACAAACCGGCAAGGAACAGTGCAGTTCCCCCACAGGACAAGCTTTTGATACACAAGCCACTGTGAACACAGGATGGGAGGCAGTGGCATGTCCGCCCTAAGTAGTCTGTGTAGCAGCAGGGTGCAACCTCAGAGAGAGAGGGCAGGGATTCTGGAAATAACCAGGCAGGACCACTCCCCTATCTGCTCAACCTCCACAGAGTCAGTCAGGTAGTGGACCCCAGCGTTCCATTAGGTTGACCTAGGAAGTTGCCAACACTTGACTATTTTTGACCCACCAAGATGTCAGTTCATACAAATAACCTACCAGCTGGCCGACGGTAAGTTGCTGTTGACAAGAAATCAAATAACAATCCAGCTAAGAAGACAGATAAAGAGAATTTTATTCGAGTCAAACTGAGGATGATAACCTGGCAAACAGATTCTCAGAAACTCTGAGAACTGCTCCATTAAGCAGAAGTGAGAGGTGCAGTTTTATACATTTTTGAGGCAAAGAAATTATGTATCATATTGATAGGTTAGCATTGAGTACACAGTTCGTTGAAGTGTTTTTGTTTTTTTCAATTATGCATGTACAGATAAGCCTTTGGTCAATGTGACCCCTTGTTTGAGATGGAAAAGAAATACATTAATCATAGGGTTATAAAGAATCTGAAGAAAGAGGTCTTCTTCTCAAAGGCTGAGTTCATCTTTCTGCTTTGAGGAGGTCTGGTTAATGAATAACATAGATTCACACTGCACTTTGGGAAAGGTCCACAAAGGGGGCGTGTCCTTAGTTATTGCTGGCTTTTTTTTTTTTCTTCTGTCTCAGTTTGATTGTTCTACCATAGAAAATTTATAATTTTCCTCATCGTTCCCATGTACTGATTGCTTGATGTACATGATCTCATTGAGACGTCCCAGAACTCTGCCGAGTCAGCAAAATCCCCCCATTCCTGCTTGTGGGGAAATGGAGGCAGACAGTCTCCATCATCAGCCTACGGCTACCCAATTAGAGCTTTCCTGGTAGCTCAGACAGTAAAGAATCTGCCTGCAATGCAGGAGACCTGGGTTCAGTCCCTGGGTTGGGCAGATCCGCTGGAGAAGGAAATGGCAACCCACTCCAGTATTCTTGCCTGGAGAACCTCATGGACAGAGGAGCCTGGCGGGCTATAGTCCATGGGGTCGCCAAGAGTCGGACACGACTGAGTGACTAACACCCGGTTTTAAGCAGTGGGAGAGGGATTTGAGTCTTAAGACTGATTTCAGGGATCATGTTCCTCCACTTCGGATGCAGTTTTGCTTTCCAAAATGTAAGCCCTGACCACGAATGACCTGAGGAGGCCAGAGGCATCATCAAACGTGTGGGAATCCCGGCTACAGGGTGGTGCTTGCTCCATGCCCTGCCCCCGACCCCCCCCCACCCCCCCGCCGGCACCCTGCCCCATCCTGGGGCCTGCTATTGAGAACTCGCTAAGTATATTGTTGCCTGAATGAATGAGTGTGCACAAGTAATAAACTCATGACCTAGTAATGAATGAGCAGGTCGGGTCGATTATTAGCAACATAAGAATACCATGGGAGGGACATCCCCGGTGGTCCAGTGGTTAAGACGACATGCATCCCATGCAGGGGATCCAGGTTCGATCCCTGGCTGGGGAACTAAGATCTTGCATGTGCACGGCATGGCCAAAAAAAAAACCAAACACGGGCGGGCAGACTGGAAGAGGAAAGAGAAGGCTAAATTTCTATGAAGGCCACTCACAGAGAAGAAAGTGTTGCTCAGCCCAAACAGGGGATGAACCGATAACACACAGGTGTTAAACGTATGTAAAGTCTCAGTCAATATTAAAAGTGCAACCAATTTAGGACAAAGGTTAAATCTTACATACTGCCTCTGGCCTACAGAACAGAGACTGTTCAAGGGAGTATAATTTTGTATTCCATGAAGCAGCTGGTGATGTCTGGAGACATTCCTGGTTGTCACAATGTGTGTGTGCGTGTGTGTGTGTGTGTGTGTGTGGTGGGGGGATGCTGACACCCCTCCATGCACAGGACAGCCCCCATAATAAAGAACTATCTGGCTTCAAGTGGAGCCCTCAAGCTACAGTGTTGCTGTGGAGAAACTCTGCTGCAGAAAGTGAGCGGCTATCATGAGAATTCAATCACGAAATCAATCTAAGGCTGGCCAACTCTAAAAACGCTGTTTTCTAAAGCTCCTCATTGCTAGCATTCTATCAAGGTCCTAGGTTACAGGGACATCAGCCAGCAAAGAATGTTCAGCTTGAGGCCTAAAGTGGGGGTGAAGAGTGTTCTACTTAACAGATCAAAGCAGAAGAATGTGGCCCTGACACTCAGGGACCCTCAACGTTTGCATATTTCCCTTCGCTAATGAGCGGCCTGAGGAGTTTCATTTTTTCGGTTCCTCTCCAGCCCACTGGCCACGGATGACATAACGACTCACGCCTTGAAGCTGTTTTAAAGCTCCAAAGGGAGGCTTTGCTTCACCCAAGAGTGTGCCTGATGGTCACAGCTCTGCTGCTCCATCAACACCCCCCCCCATTTCCAGCCCTCGCCTATCTGGGGAGTTAGGTGGGGGAGTCCCCCCACCTGGCATGGATCCTCTCATACAGGCTGGGGTGGTTTAATTCACTTAAAATGCAAATAACCCAGGATTATGCAGTGTGATTTCGAGGTGGAGAAGCAATTTTGCACCTCATTGAATGCACAGATTAGAATCATTTTTAAAAGTCTTTATCTGGTACTGAGTCTGCAGACACGTGGGTAAGTTTCCCCAAGCAACAGAAGGGACCCAGGCAGGTCTTCCCCTCGAGCCCCAGGGCTGAGCCGAGAAGTACACGATTTCTCTATGACCCCAAACTATCTCCATCTTCTCTGGGAACCCTGACTATGAAATAAGACTCCCCGAATTCTCATCCCTGGGTCTCAGGCCGCCAGTCATGCATTCTTCTCCAGTAAAGCCCGATTCTGGCCAATCTTGTTTAGAGGGCAGATGGTGTATACTTGTGCACGCTACCAAAAGCTTCCTTTCTGCCCAAGGAGGCATCATTGCTACTTTAGCTAGCCAGCATCTTAGCGAGTGCACTTTATTCTAGACTTTTCAGGAACTCCTCAGTAACCTCTGCAAATGCCTTGAATCCTCCAGATTGACACTCAGGGGGCACGTGGAAGGGTGAAGCAAGAGAAAGAACAGACAATGCAGAGAAAAGAGCTGGGATGTGGACAACCCCGCCGCCCCCATAATCAGCCCTCTCAGGACCTCTTTTTTTCCCTTCCCCCTTCATTAAAAAAAAAAAATGAAGTAGAGTGGATTTACAATGTGGTGTTAGCTTCAGTAAGGTAATTCAGTTATATATGCATATATATAAACATACACAAACATATATATGTCAGTTATACATATATATGTGTACTTTTTCAGGTTCTTTTCCATTATAGGTTATTATGAGATACTGAACATAGTTCCCTGTGCTGTACAGTAAGTCTTTATTGTTTATCTATTAGGACCTTTTCGTGTTCCCAGTTAAAAAAGTCTGAACTCAGAGAAACTGAAGTGAAGCAGGCTGGAGAATTTCTGGAAGACACAATCGGTTCTGTTGAGAGTACTATCAGTGTGATACCACCTGAAGGACTCACTTGTTTCTCTGGGTACCTCCTGTGTGTGTGTGTGTTAGCTGCTCAGGCATGTCCGACTCTTTGCAACCCCATGGACTGTAGCCCACCAGGCTCCCCTATCCATGGAATTCTCTAGATCCTCTCATAAAGGTCTTTTCTTTTTTTTTTTCCCGGCTGTGCCATGCGGCTTGTGGGCTGAACCTAAGTCCTGGCAGTGAAGGCTCTGAGTCTTAACCATCAGGGAATTCCCAATGTAAGTTGAAATTAAAGCATCTAATATAAATGTCCAGGGGTTTAAAAGTCATAGTGCAAGAACCTTCAACTCAAAGCCACGTCTCTCGGATCTGCCACGGCACTGTTTGGAGAGCCCGGGCTTTGCCTCAGATGAGAAACCACCCCCTCTCCCCGAGACTGAGTTCTTTCAGACTCCGTGCTATCAGAATTCTTACTATTAGAAAGGAGACGAGTGTTGTGAAAGCAGCATGAGTTTCAATTTCGCAGGAGATGAAACCACCCGAGAGAAATGACTGTCATCCCCTTAGAACTCTGGAGGCTAACACAGGCAGGTCTGACGTCCACGGCCACGTGCCAGGCAGTGAGCCCAGGCTTTCAGGCTGGGTGGGTCTCCTTCAAAAAGCAAATGGAATTCTGAAGTCTAAGACAGACAATTTCTGGACAAGCCTCCAGAAGCGGTGCTCAGGAGATGAGCTGCCCAGGGACATCCCCTCGGCAGATCTGTCCCCTAACACCCTGCCCACATCTGGCTGCAGATGGCATCACGCACCTTTGTGTGAGAGTCTGCCGGGGCTGGGTGCCAGCAGCTCACCCACCCCACTCTCTCGCAGGGTTTTTCTTCTGACCTTGGAATAATGTTTCAAAAGGCCGCAGACCCGCTCTAAGAGGCTTTTCTGGAAAAGGCCAGGAGGTGAAAGCTGGGCTTGTTCAAAAAGTCAGAGATGTGGGCGATGATGCAGTGATGGGAAAATGTATCTGTAGGTGTAAGCGGGCCCGTCGGCGGCTCTGCCTGGGGCGGGGAGGATGGCAGGAGACTGCGATATTCCAGCCGTGGCTGAGCTCTGCCCTGGGCTTGCGTAGACGCACC